AAATGTAATGCCTGTTTCATGCTGCCTGCCCTGAGGCCATTAAAGCTCCTTTGCAGCAACAGTGCCAGGGGGGATGCACACATACACTCAGTCTCAAGCAAAACCACGGCAAGCAGCGCTCGGGTGGGAGCAGGTCCTGTACGCTTCACTTGTGCCTAACTGCTGTTACAAGCATCACGAGATCTGGCCATCAAGGCTTGTCTCCTTCAAAGCACTTCACAAGCTGTTGTGTTTTGGCTTTTAAACGACAATTCCCAGAGGGGGCTTCACCTCCCCAGGCCAGGCTGTGTGGGAACAGAGGAAAGACACTGCTCTGGGATAAATCCGCCGCACAGAAGTGAATGGGGACATTTCCACGTCCTTTGTCTTTGCATGTGATCATCTGTCCTTGGCTGCTCCATTCTCTACTCCCACCACACCCGTGTAGAAGAGAGAAATAGTCCCTGTTCTGTTCTGCCATGTTGCACCTGAAAATTGGGAAACGAATCGACTTCTCTCTAGATGAGCTTCGTACATTCAAGGAATAGCTGCTGGTTACTTGCTGGTTACACTGCACTGCATACCTTTAGTTTGCTTCAAGCTTTCTACCTTAGCTGATCTTATACCACTAAGTGTTGCATATATCCATGCTGTCCAAAACAATTACTGGATGTACCTGTTCAGGTTTGAGAGCTTATAACAGAGTGAGGTGGAGGAGAGAGAAAAAAAAGCCAAGGGTTTGGCCTAATGTATGGACAAACCATGTGATCGTGACCGGGCATCCAGGGCTAACATTTAATCAGCTTTGTTTCAAGTGGGAAATATGTGAAGATCGAATAAGTTCAAATCCAGGTCAAATATCCTTGAAAATCTTTGATTTATATAAGCAGGAAAATGAGGTTTAAAAGAAGTGATTATGAAAGGGTTACTAAAAACACAGCTGTACGCATACTCTTATATCTGAGGCTCTCCAAAGAAAAACTGTGTGACATCTATATTAACCTTTGGCTGTACACCAGTGAAGGCCTGTAGTGAGCTGGAATGCAAGGCAGCCCCTTCCAAATTTTAACACAAGCCAGGTTACAGCTGCAAATGCCTGCAGCCCGTGCTCACTTTATAAAGTATTCCCCGAAGGAAATTTTTTAACTGTTATAGAATCTTTTTCTAATACCCCACAGTGTTAAAGCCTGTTATTAAAGGGCAAAGAGATGGTTCTCTATGCCAAACACTTGTCAACAAAAAGGATAGCCAGATGGTATGAAATAAAAGGAAGCTTGGGGGCTCTTCAGTTTCTTGATTTACATTAACAAAAGTAACTCTCATGTGCTCCAAGAATGACTAATTCCCCCACCTCATTTTTTGCCAGGATTAAACAATGTTGTTCATTTTATAATCAACCACGAGACAAATTAACAAATTGTGTATCACTTGTGCCGACTCTCTTAAAAAATATCCTAAGCAAGTCTGTCTACTGAGGCAAGATTACCCACATAAGAACAACTCAATTATTTTTAGAAGAGAGAGTCTAAGTAATCTAGAGGATGTTTACTCCTTAGTTGCTCTTTATAAACTGGAAAATCAACTTGTGCAAAAAATGCATTGCATTTTTCAGTTCCTAAAATGGGTCCGTTTGTAAACTGTGCTTTGGACGGGATCTGAAAGGAAATTCCAAATACTGAAATTATAGTAATAAACTTTATAAAATTAGCCAGTAATTAACTAACTTAGACAACCGTGGCTAAATTCTCTTTTAGTGTACATGTAACTTCATTCTTGACACAAATCCATTCCCCATCCATCTTAGCACAGGTGTAAGCTAAGACAAAATGCAGCCTGCGAATTAACCAGTTAGAAATCCAAATCTAATTGTCAAGATTTTACAGAAGCCTTACATGCTTAGTACAAAGCTCCACGCAACACAGCCCTGAAATGGAGCACCTGTATTCTGGTTCCTCCCTACCAATACCTAGTATAAATTCTCTAGAACAAACATCTACAGTATCTCCATAGAAATCCTTGGGGGGATTGAGGGGGGTAGGGGGTGGTGTTGGGGCTTTTTTATTACATAACCCAGTATATCTTGCAGTCTTAATATTTTTCGTATTTATATTCTCCTATAAAGTCGTACAACTCGACAGATGAAGAATATGAACAAAGAAAAAAAAAAAAGTGGGTTCGTAGATTAGCGTTTGGAAGCCTGGAATTAACATGTTTTGTTTATGGAAATTTAAAAGTATTATTTCTTTACTCACTTTTACTTCCTCCATTCTAAGATGAAGCTTTATTATGCTGCGACACTTCCTCATTGTGACGGCTCTAGTATGGTAATAAAAGCCTACCTGTGAAATGCAATGCTCACAGGGTATCTCTTACAAAACTAGGGCACAGTTTACTACAGTCTGCATTTAGGAATTCAGCTCTGCTTTAAAAGGGATCATTGTAGAAAGTCTCCAAAAAAACATCAGTTCTACAACACATCTTCTACTTTTCCCTGAATGTCACAGCAAACTGTACATATCACAGCAGGTGTTATATTTTACTATATACGGGAGTGAGTGGCTGGGGGGGGTTTATGGGGAGGGAGTGGCTGGTCTAATTCATTATAATTCATAAACAAGCCTGTCTTTGTCCTAGAAAGATGAAAGACCGATGACTATAATGGGATGAAAGGTGTGCATAGTGATGAAGAAAGCTATTATAGATCTATGTCCTTTTTAAACTCGTCCTGGCATGCATGGCTGACAAGGGAACAAAACAGTACAGATAAACCTCCAAAATGTGCCTTCCTGGTAATAATTCCACCTGTCCTCCTAAAAACTGCTGGATTTTGCCTGTGCGCTTACTACTCACTGACCATGCTGACAGCAATTCAGTAACATGGTATTTTACACAAAGAACTCTTCCGGATTTCTAAGCTGACTACAAAACCCAGCAGGTCTAAATGAATGAATATATCCACTGCAGTCATCGCTTCGCACTGGGATGTCGATTATTGATTACGTAGAGCTTAGACAGGTGAAATCTGCTCTATAAAAGTTCTCACATAGAAACAGACGCATCCAAAAAAGTAATTTTTATTTGACAGTTCATGGATCGATTCCACTCCTTCGTATTCAAAATAATCAGGGACCTGAATATCAATTCCTTTCCCGTAAAACCTCCAGGGGCTGCAAAGGTGGTGCTTTTCCTTACAGAGGAAGCACAGGACGGGAGAGCTGCCGTTCCACTGATGCAAGATGTGCAGTAAATAACTACACCCATGGAGCAGAGCTCCTTCCCCAGAGCTAAACTCCCTGCAGTTAGATACTTACATGTTTCATAAAGGCTTTCTCCTTTGTATCGAAAAGGAAACAGAAGCGTGAATTTCGCTATTGTTACTTCAAGAGCCTTTGCCTTCTGTTTGGGACTCTCCCTGCACTCTGGCTGTACAAGGTGTAGCGCCAAAGAACTACAGAGAACAATGTTAGCAAGATCACTCTTATCTCTCAAGTCAAATATTTGACTTCCGTTGGTACTTTTGGCTGCTCAAATACTTGATTTTAAATGTATCATTGCTGATCAGCTTAAAGTATCTAGCAGCGATTAGACATACACTGTAATTCCAAATGGAAAGCACCAGCACTCTCAGGGAGTGCAGCCCCCAGGCCAGATGTAATTCAGAGCTTCCCACAGTGAAGCTGACGGTCGTTAACAAGGAGGTGCATGCAAACTAGAGATCTCCCACAGCGTCCTGTGTCTCCCTATCATGCAAAAACTGTGCCGGGATGGCTACCGTGTCTAGTAATTATTAACGTGTGTCGCAGAGCCTTTATAGCTACTGGTCTTTTCAAGTTAGTTAAAGTGCAAGGATTAGAGAGGTGGTGATTTAGGCGGTGATTTAATCTTTGTTGCCCCTGTAGTTCTGAACAGTGGAAGTGTCCAGAACAAGGACATCCATAAAGGTGTCAATGGATTTACTGGCAATGGGGATGATCCCTAGTGGGTTATATGCCAGAGGTGGGCTCCTCTTGCTCTTTGCGTGTCCCTTTGTTTGGAACAAAGTTTGAGTTGATCTTGTTTTGGAAATACTGTTCAGATTCTTTCTTGAACTTGCAGGCACCCAATCTGTACGTGTGGTGGTTTCAGAGCTGCACATGAGGAGGGCTAAAAATGGATAGAGTGAACCAGGTCTATAATTATATATTTAAAATAGAATGTTCATCCCGACAATGTTTTACTCAAATCCAGCCAAGTCAGCAGTCCACACGGGTGTGCAATCTACAGCAAGGAAATGGAAATCAGATTGGGCCATGGCATCCAATTAGAAAGGCCTAGCGAGCTGCATACAAAGCATGCCAACTTCGGTATCATTTGCATAAACCCATCCACATGTGCTTGTGAAAAGAGGCGAGTTAGCTGCATAAACTGGGGTCAACAGAAAAAGCTGCAGGAGTAAATAAGGATTTGCTGTGGAATCCCTCTCAAGCAATTAGGAAAACATGTGAGCAGCTCAGCCCCTTCAGCCAAGGGAACATGGTGCTGGGATGCCACAGGGAACTATCCATCCAGGCAGCCCTGGTGACCCTGCATCCCAGACAGGTGCCGTGCTGGGACCCATGTTCCTGACTGAGTGCCATGTCTTCCTTGGCGGTGTGGGCTAGACCTGCTCAACTCCTACTTGCAAATCCGATTTCTTAGGTGCAGCAAGAAACTATCAAAGGGAGAAGACAACAAAGAACTTAAGTGTGTTGGCGTGCAGGGTGGAGAGCTTGTGGCTGTCCAAATGCTGTGATGGGAAATTGAAGCCCTCTCCATACAGGTGCCATTTAACTACCATCTATAAGAGCCACTACCTGCCCTTCCTTGCCCAAGTGGGCTGCTACCCATCCAACCCACTGC